ACTTATAAAATAAAGAAGAAATACACACTACTGAAGGGCAGCTCAGTCACTAAGGGGAGCTAAAAATATTCTTTGGGGGGAAAATCTGCCTGAGAGTGGGGAAACATCAGGGGTTTGTCATAGGTGGCCATCACCACATGTTGAGGAAGTGAATTCCCTATTATGCACCCCACAGAGAAGTACAGTACTTTTTTTTGTCTGTTCAGTGCGGCAAAGCAGCATACTTGGGAGACCCAAAGTGCTAGAATTTTGAGCAAGCAAGAAAATTTCATTCTCTCCACAACATCCATAAATTTACAAACCATATCAAGGTCTTAAACCTTTCTCTGGTGGCTGGCTAGCATGCAGCAAAGTAGAGGGAGTCCTCTTAGCGCCTTTCAAAAAGTTGTTCAGATTTTGACGTCGTTGTTCAGAAGAGCAATCGGTCGGTATGCCTTTGGATCTGTAGCATTTTTGGGATCTTTGGGAATGTGGATAGAAGAAACAAACAAGTCAATGAAAGAAGATGATTAAGAAATACCAGGAGACGGGTTATCATAGAAATTAATTGTTACGGGTTAGCTGTAAAACCTATTTGACCAAAGACTGGTACAACAGGAAAAACAAAATGGCTGTTTATATGCATGCACCGGAGCAGTGATGGCAGGTCCCTGCTGCTCTGGAAATGTTGCATATATACTCAGCCTGAATCCTACGGACCTGCATAAGCTCACAAAATTAATAATGAAGGTATCTCCCACAGATGGATGGTTGTGAATACCTCAGAGCATTTTCTTGAATCCCACTTTTTTCTGAAAAGTCCCACTGTTCAAAGGGCTTGCATTTGCTTCCATTGGCCAGAAAATTCACATGGTGAAACAGGACTTGTTGCATCTCAGTATTCCGTGCAGTTGTGTTTGGGTTTTATATAAAGCAAAAAGAAAGTATGTTTTTCTTTTCCTTAACCCTCCAAGCCAATATTTTGATGTTTTTGGAAGATTTTTGCCAAAAGCACTGTTTAAGAATAGCATGTTCTTCTGTATCTGAGAGACTTCAAAAGATTCTAAGATCTTTCTTTCCGACAGAATTTGAGCATAGATTCGTTTGTCCCCAGTCCGCTTATGTTCTTTTTCCAGCATTGCCAGACGGGATAAAGCTTCAACTCTGATACGATTTTTCTCTCTTTTCAGCTGTGCTGAGATTGAAATTATTGAGCCTCGCAAGACGGCCTTCATCGCATTCCAAATGATTGGGAGAGGAACCGTGCCCGAGTCATTCTCTTGAAAATATTGTTCGATTTCCCTATCCAACTTTTCTCTGACAGATTGTTGTAATAAAATATTTTTATCCAAAGACCACTGCCTATCTTTTGCAAGCGATGGTAAAAGATCAAGTTGACAATCTAACCACGCATGACCTGTAAGATGCCTCTGGCCAATGTTTGCTGATGTAATCATTGGAAGGACTGAAGTGGATGCCGGTAGATAATCAATCCCAGTGAACGTGTCATGTCTAGCAGAATAATTTCAAATTGAGGGTTTTTAAAAAAAAAAAACGCCGATGCCCGCTGTCTGTGAACGGGCATACAGCGATGGACTTCGCTGTGAGGGTGGTAAGTGTGATCTCGTTTCAGCCGGCATAAACTGCACCGGTTCCAACCGGTACAGTTTATGCCGGCTGAAATGCCCCGTCTGAACGCACTGTATGTGTGGAGTAACTGCTGTTGAAATCTGATGAGTTTAATTTTCTTACATTTAAACAAGAGAAGCAATGACACATGCTAATTTGTATGAGCACAATTTACAGCTAAAAACCTTTCTTTAGTTCTTTGTTTCACATGACAACAAATAAAGTGTTCAGCAGACCTATACAACTGGTGTGCAGCCTATCACACATGCAATTTGACCTTTCAGGTACTTGAGAACCCTTTGTGGGGAGGCTCACCAGACAACAAAACTAAGACCTAGTTTATTTGTTTGTAATTATTGATTTAGTTTCATACCTTTCTTCACCTGACAGCAAACCCAAGGCAACCTACATTTTAAAAATAATAGCATCAACTAAGCCATATTTAGGGGTGCCAGCCTCCAGGTGGGACCGTTAAACGCCAGACATTACATAGGCAGCCAGCATTTTAAAAATAATAGCATCACCTAAGCCATACTTAGGGGTACCAGCCTCCAGGTAGGACCTGGAGATCCTCCAGAACTATGGCTCATCTCCAGATTACAGTTCCTCTCGAGAAAACGGATGCTTTGGAGGATGGATTCTATGGCATTGTACCCCACTGAGGTCCCTGTCCTCCCCACGATCCATTTCCAAATCTCCTGGGGTTTACCAACCTGACTCTGGCAATCCTACCCCCCATGCCCCCCCAAAGGCCAGGGAGAACCTGACAACCCCAGCCATACTTGGCCACAGTGCATTTTTAGTTGGCTGAGTGTGATTCAGGGGTCAAATACCGCAGGGGTCTGGTTTTGAAAATATGATTGCAGTATGTACCCTAACACAGTGCCTCTTGGATGTTGTTACTGTGACTGAATGGGAAACTGTGGTATAGTATATTTCTCACTGCCTAGCGTGAGTACACAGTGAAAGGCTCACAGGGACAGAAGAAGATAGTTATAAACTTATGTTTATATGTGCGATGTACAGATTTGGCTGCAAATGTTTGGACAGGGGTCTGGTTTTGAAAATATGATTGCAGTATGTACCCTAACACAGTGCCTCTTGGATGTTGTTACTGTGACTGAATGGGAAACTGTGGTATAGTATATTTCTCACTGCCTAGCGTGAGTACACAGTGAAAGGCTCACAGGGACAGAAGAAGATAGTTATAAGGGGCTGTTTATATGTGTGATGTACAGATTTGGCTGCAAATGTTTGGGAAGTGTTAGACATGGCAATGGACTTCTGTTTATCCTCCTTTAAACGATAGTTCTTTCCAAAATATCTGAGCGCTAGAACTTTTGGTTTGGGGGTTAGAATTTCCCAAGCAATGCTTTAGAAGGACACTGTGAAACATGTCAATCAGAAGCTTATCAGTCCAGTATCTGCATGCAGATTTTATGTGCAGGTGGAGCAGACGTACATCGGAAATCATAAAATCAGTCTGAAGTTGAGCACATCACAAGAACTGTATGTGCCAGAAGATTATGGTGCACAGAGGTGGCCACTCCACCAAGAACAATGTTGAGACATTAATCAAGGAAGTGCCAGGAAATCAGAAATGAACTGTTCCCAAACTAAACAGCCCTTACGTTTGTATTTTGAGGGGGGGGGGGGGAGAAGCATTAAAGTGGAAGGCTTATTTTGCCTGGAATCAAATCTGAAATTTGACACTTCATGCGACACATTTCCACAGTTAATCAGTTTCCTGCACTTACTCATAGCTCATAATTTTTAAATGAGTGGTCTGTAGTCAGGCTATACTACATGTCTGAAACATAAGGCCCTCTGAGAACGACCTGAACTTTCTGAAAATGTCTGGCAGCTGTTTTTGCTGAATCAGTTTGGGTCCAGGCATTTGCTCCACCTTTCCCTAGCATAAAGCACACCCCCTAGATGATGTCATGTATGAGCAGGACATCCCTCATCAGTACCAACTCGAGTGGGCCCCATTTGTGCAACCTCCCCCCTTTTTCCTTTAAGAAAGAAAAGTTGCACAAGTGCAGTCACTGTGCACAACTGCTTCATAGATGTGAGCTGCGCCCACTAACAGATTTCTACCGTGTGTAGTATACAAACCTGACCCTTGTTTTAGCCTACTGATTTTGTGAGAGTGTCTCTGATCCTGAAGTGCTTCATTGCCACACTCACATGACTAAGACTTAACATTCCATTTTAAATCAAGGACTAGCAGTTGTAGTAACTGGGGTAAAAGACTGTGAGGGCTCAATTTGTCAATATTTTGGGACCACGTATCTACCTGATCTGATCTTTATGTCTTATTAATCTGCAAATGATCATAGAAATAGGTAAATTTGCTTCTTACATTATGCAAACTTAAGGCACTTGTCTACTACTGCATATTCCTATGCTAGAGACGCCAGGGGAATATTATCTCTTGCCATACAGCTGCCAAACTGGAAATCAGGTAACTGAGTAGATGAAATGAGGAGAGCCTTACTCCCTATACTTTTTCAGAAACATATTGACATTAGAGAAAACACAATACATAGGCCAGTTCACAGACAGTTACCTTTCTCATGCTAGCAAATCCATAGTACATCATCATGGCTGCAGCCCTATCATCTAGGGTTGTCAGTCATGCATTGGCAACCTCCAGGAACATTTGGGGGTAGAGCCTGGGGAAGGGGAGCATCACTGACAACATGACATCACTTTCTGAGTCATCACCCAGAAGTGACATTGCAGTATCTGTAACAATCTAGGAATTCTCCCAGTCTCTTATGGTAAAGACCATAGACACTTGGGAAAGATCCTAAAGTGCTGTGGACACCATGACATTGTGCCCCCCACCATTTTTTCTCCACTGAGCAAGCACAGGGGATGGAGCGTGTGCAACTAGTAAGCTCCTATCAACCTCAGTGCCAGGAAAGCTACAAGTTGTTTAGATTTCTCCAGATTAAAGAAGTGACTGTTGCTTTCCTGCCCAGCAGGCTCCAGGCATGGTGGGAGAGATGCTTGACTATGGTCCACAAGACCATTACCATTCTCAGTAAGAAAGGCAGACTATAAATGAAGTAAATAAAGAAACTATGATATGTCTACTCCTGTGATTTCAAAACTAAAATTAAAAAAAAAAATTATGGCCCAGGAACTTATGTGTATGAAATGAGGTGGTGAGCATGGAGGGGCCTGTGTTGCAGGTTTGTATTGAACTCATAAGATGATGCTTGGGTCCTGCCTGCTGTGCTCGGAGATAACAGAACGCGCCGAGCTAATTTGAAAGGAAGCCACGATAAAGAGAATAAAAATATTTTTATCTAAGAGATTTTAAAAATCTAGCATTCATAATGTTAAACTGTAATTTGGACTTGTCTAGAATACTGACCCACAAGATAATACCCCATGTTTGTTAAGTTGTTTTATGGATTGGTTGTTTTATGAATATTGGTTTTATTAACGCTGTGAGCCGCCCTGAGCCGCTTTGGCGGAAGGACAGGATAAAAGCCAAATAAATAAATCAATCAAATGTGTTCAGTACTCCAAGTCCTTCTGTTGAAAAGCTATGTGTGTTTTCAGTATTCCAAGTCCTTCTGTTGAAAAGCTATGTGTTTGAATGATGAGTAGAGCTTGTGCATATACAGCAAGTCTTTTTTGCCTCTCTTTTCCGGCTAGAGCCCCGTGCACTAACACACATCCCAAAGTAGCCTCTTCTGAAGGCTGGGGTGAACTTGAGGGTTGCATTGGAGGCTGCAGCTCAAAGGCAAAATATGCTTTCCTATGAAATGGGAGGCAGCATATATTGCTTCTGGCCAGTAGGAGGCAATGCAAGAAGCCTGGAAAGGACCTTGCTGCTTCCTTTGTGTCATTCTCAGTTTAACCCACTTCATAAAGTAAACAGGAGTTCAGTAGCACCTTGAAAACGTAAACGAAATTTATTCCAGCATGACTGTTTGTGAGTCAACTCAGTTGGAATAAGTGTTGTTACTCTTTAAGATGCTACTGTACTCTTGCTTAATTTTGCTACAATAGGTTAATACAGCTACCCGTCTGGAACTATTTCATGGGGATGTTGTACTAATAGGAGAACATCACCCTGGACAAAGGACAGGATAAAATGTAATTGCTTAGCAGTGTGATGCAGTTTTTTAATTAGAAATGCTCAATCATTTGCCAGTTTGGTTTGCAATCTGTCCACAATTTGTGATCCACCCAGTCAAATTCTTAACAAGCTTTTCACCTGTGTTCCAAGAATCTGCATGGTTAATGATACAAAACTGGCATGTGCTTTCTCCTGGTGCTTTCCCGTGGCTTCCATCCCCACTGCCTCTAGCATCACCTCTCCTGTCAATTGTTTGCAACATTCTTTAAGCACACAAAGTATTAACGTTTCACGGTTAGTGACTTCCAGGTGTGAGGTGTCTCCCTGGGTCCTGTATGGCTTCATGATTTACTGTTCATTAATGGAAGAGCAAGCAAGTTATCTGGAAAAAATTCACGCATGTTCTTGCACTGTTTCATTGGGAAGGTTTTTTAATACATACTACAAGACATTTAAATGATGCAACCTGACTGCAGAGGTGCAAAGAAGGAGTTGAACTGCAAGCAGTCTCTCTCTGTGTGTGTGTGTGTGTTTTTTTAATGATGGCAACCCTATAGGGTTTTCAAGGCAAGGAAATTTTTTTTTTTTAACCAGAACATTTTATTCGTATTCAACCATAATGTGTAACAACAAACAACAAGAGTTACAGAAATCCACTTATCCTACCAATGCAATCAAATATACAATCAAAGAGAGGTTCCACGGAACATTTCAAAGTGATTTGCCATCGCCTGCCTCTGCATAGCAACCCTGGACTTCCTAGGTGATCTCCCATCCATGTACTAACCGGGGCCAACCCTGCTTAGCTTCCCAAGATCAGGCTGGTCTGGGCTACCCAGCTCAGGGTGTTCGAAAATAGGTCACTTTAATGACCTGGTCAT